CTCACAACCAACATGCATCACACACGCCAGCTTAGAAAGCAGCCCGCAAAGCCGCCTAGGCCGCGTTTATGCTTCAGGCATGAAACAAATGGCTCACAACCAACATGCGCATACCAGCTTGAAAGGCGGCCCGCAAAGCCGCCTATTGATGTTTGGCATGTACGGCGTGAAACAAAAGGCTCACAGACAAAACGTGTCCTTTTTTTCCGCCTGAAAAGTGACTGTATACTTAACTTTCGAATTACAAAAGATTCTATAGGCCCCCGGAGCCCAGCCAACACAAGATTCTATATATAGGCCCCCGGAGCCCAGCCATTTGGCAACTTAGATCGAAACTACGCAAGATTCTGGCGGCCCCCGGAGCCCAGCCATTTGGCAAGTTGAGGGTGGGGCTGGAAAACCAACACCTGCTCACATTGATCATAAGTATATATGGTATAAGGCCAGGAGCCCCTAGCGTCCGATCGCTCCTATAGTAGTAGAAGGCCAGTAGCGTCCGATCGCTCCTAGTATATATGGTATAAGGCCAGGAGCCCTAGCGTCCGATCGCTCCTAGTATATAACCTTGTGGCCAATGAAATGGCATCATGCACGGTTGTTCATGTTTCGGCTGCAAATACTTCACACGTGCAACAACAAAACTGGAGTGACGAGACTGAAACTTTTTTGCAACTGCAAGTGGAAGGTGCTGCCTGAAGAATACACTACAGGGCCTTCGATCACCCTGGCGAATTCCGATCTCCTGATGGGATCACTATCACAGGTGGGTGGCCAAGCTTCAACGCCTTCTCAGCCAAAGCATTCTTCTCGCCAGGTCGAACGAAGATCGGCCACTCAGGCAAATGAACAACATCAGGAGGGTCTGCCCAAATAGACTGGTCGTCCTAGAGCTTCTGCGTCTTCTTTTTTTTTCGCCAAGCCCTGTGCTTCTCCAACCAAGACAATGTCTTCGGGCCCGGCATCCGAAGGATCGACCAAGCTTTCAGCGCCCTTCGAGCTAAAATAGTCTGGAACATGCAGAACAACGAGCTTTGAACCTTCGGGCGCAACAAACAAAAGGGCCTGTTCTATTGAACCCTGAAGCATGAGAGTGTTCGCGCTGCGCAAAACTTTCTGATCATGGCGCCTGCGTGAACACTCTATGAGAAACCTAAAAACTATATACACGTCGCGGCCCACAAGGCCGCGTCGCGGCCCACGAGGCCGCGAACAGCGGCAACCTTCATTCCCCCCTTGTGTTTCATCCATTGCCCCCTCGAGCCCCCTTCGTTCCCCCCCACCAAAGGACTACCTTTTTGTCAATTAGTTGGTGTGTGTGTGTGTGTAAGTTCTACTAAGTTCCGATAAGTTCCGCTAAGTTCCCCGGTTTTTACTTTTAACGGACCCACCAAAAACTTACTCGCTGTTAGGTATTTAGCACAAGAGCCCTATCACGCACAAGATAGTTTACGAAAACTTACTCAGACCACGGGAACATAGGCAGCTTAGTACGAACATGCGGAAATTAAAACCAGGTTATAAGCAGGTTAAAAGTAAGTTAATAACTGCCACATCTTCCATAACCACAACCGGCCCTCATTGTATGTGAACACCACCGCAGATTACATGAAGAAGCTACCCCAGCCTGCAATCCAGAACCACGAGGTACCAAGCGCCCACCGGAGACTTCTATTGATGACGATCGATGCCAGAACGTCGTCACCACAGTCGTCCAGCAGTTGATGACCAAGCAACCGGATGGGACATTGCTACTTCAAAACTTACCACCACCCGACCAACAACAGCTCATCCGGTCAACCATTCACCAAGTGTTATCCTCGCCGCATCGACCGGATGGATCATACAATGACTCCCTATCACCATCACTGGCGACACCCAGCTCCTATCCCTCACAAGCCGCACCTCCTACCTACTTCGACAACTCCATTTTGCCCTCATCAGCCACAATGTCCATGCCACATGCTTCCACTCCGTTGCTGACACAAACATGATGCATTGATCCATCCTCAGTGCAGACAGCTATGGAGATCCTGGAGAATGACGATCAAGATTTGTAGACCTCCCTCCATTTCAAGTGATCCGTCATCCGTCTCACCGACGACGACTTCATTCATTCTGGAAAAAAGATAATGCTTCGCTACTTTGCGGTCGTCGTTTCCTCCCCACAGTCCACCCCGATTCTTATCCAAACCCATCGTTCGCATGATTCCCCTCCATCGCCCACCACCAACAACAGTTCCCGTCACACTTTTATCCTCTAGCCCCTGCTCCAACTTTGTATCTTCAAGTGCGTTCATTCCTCATGACGACTCATCCTCGTCCTCTTCCTTATCCTGCACGACAACGGATTCAAGTCGATCCCGAAGTTCCACGACATCCTTATCAAGAACTTTCAGCAGTACCTCATCTACATTCGGTACGCTTTGAACTCGATCTTCGCTTACTGCTGCAGACACCGCTCCGCATCATTACCGTGACGCTCCCTGTGAGTCACATCGAAGACGAACCGTACAGCGTGGATGACCTCAAGGACGTGATCTATTCCAGAACTGGCTTGCCACGCTGCAATTTCTGGCTAGGCACACAAGCCTTGCAGGATTACACCATCTCTCAAGTCCATTACACTTTATCCCTTGAGGACCTGGTCTTCTATTACGTCAACGTCCGTCAGACTAGACCGCCAGGCCACGAACTCGAATTTCCTCGACCTCTGGGCATACCTGGATCTCTACCCTATCGCGACCCAGAACTTACGGCACAGACATGGGCAGCGCCTCCCCGATTACATGATGACGCTTGCCAGCAGTTGCGGATATCACTTACTGCTTTCACATGTCAATACGAGATTTGGACCTTTTCCGAGACCCATATCGCCACCGCCCTTGCAAAAAAGCTCGGGCGCCTACGGCCTTCCACGTCCATTCCCACGCTCTCTCTTCCACAATTCTCAGTCATTGTTCACCGTCGACATATTCACTCAGATGGGATCAGTCACAATCATTTCCCATATTGCTCCAAACAGTTGCTCATATAGCGCGATCAGAGGGCTCAAAGATCCCAAAAGTTCCCGTATAGCATTTGGCATTCAAACCCCTCCGCGTGGCAGAACACCGGTTTTGGACCTATGCTCTTGAACATCGAGAAGGACACCTGATGGCGGCGCTTGCTTCGGCCGCGGCGGTACGTCCCCAACACACCAACATGCAGATCCTGAATCAGCTACGTGAAACTGCTCTATGGCATGACCCCATCACTCAAGAGCTTCCGTCATCCCTTGGCTACCATGTCGAAATTGCCTACGAACATCTCCATCAAGCTTACACTCATCGGAAGCCTTAGCCCGCATTGATGGCTTCGACACCATGCAACCATTTTACCCGAAAGGCCAACCCAAGAGAAAGGGGAAATCAAAATTCCCCACACCGGCCTCCACTCACACCACCGGTGTCCAAACCGACACCGCTCCACCCGCTCCACAATTCTCCATTCCACAAACCCCTACACCAGCTTCCAACACCACCCTCCCGTCTATCCCAGAGACATCCGCGCACACCACTCCCCCTGACGCGCAACTCCAGGCTACGTGACCAGTCGTTCCAGAACGTGGGCTCATTCCAACCGTCCCGGATTGGCTCCCAGTTGTCACCAGCCCTGTGCAATGTTGCCATCACCCTGATCGAACATTCCTGGCAGCAGCTTCACAACAACCTTCTTCACCACACCGACCTCCACTTCACCTACTACCGCTATGTGGACGACCGTTTCATTGTCCACAACGAATACTTCCTCTCTCACCCCGCCATCCAAACACTCATCCACCGCAACTTTTTCGGTGACCCCGTCGAGCTTGAGACCGTGGACGACTTTCACCTCTTGGGTTTCAAGATTGATCTCCACCAACGCACTATCAGCTACATACAACCCGCCCAATCTTGGAAAATCCGAGATGCCACCAGCGCTGGGAGCAAAAGACTCACGCTCTCTGGCCTCGCTTCACGATTCCACACAATTTACACCTACACCTATCCACCCCATGCAGCGCACGCAGCGGCCGACCAGCTTGTCAACCTCTACGTCCTCAAGGGACACGCAGCAATAGACTGCATGCGATTTTTGAAGCCAAAAAAGAAAGCCTAGCTTTTTGCAAGCGCCGGGACGGGCATTCTGTGTGCGCCCCCCCTCTGTTTCCAAGAGGTTTTGTTTCCCTTCCAGTTCCATTGCAGGGGGCACAGGCCCATCGTGGATACCTGTGCCAACGAAGCTATTCCACGATGGGGGAAGCGGAGATTGATCACCTCCGTGTACCTGCTGAACTTTTTACAAGCTGTGACTCGACTTTCCCACGTTTTGATGCCATGGTTCTCGCATGATACTCCCCCCAAACCAGCGTTCTCTTCGTTGCTCTCCACCGTTCGTGAGCTGCTGCATCATCGCAGATGCGAGAAACTCCTTTGTTAAAACACCTTCAAGTGCTTACACTTCACCTTGCCGTTGAGTCATTCCTTTCCGCGTGGAACAGATGTAACTGCAAACCCATTATCTAAGTGTGTAAAGATGTTGACCTTGTCAAGTCTGGCAACCCTTTCAGCACTTCAGAGTCACACTGTCTGGTTGGCAACTGCAACTACAACCCACCCACCCCACCCCCCACCCCCGCACCCAACCCGCTCATCAGCTTGCGTGCGCAGATGAGTTTGCATGGCAGAAGAGTGCTTTGTCCCTCTCCCTCTCACTCTCACTCACTCTCACACTCACACTTGCACCCACACTCACTCACTCACCACCACCGCCACCGTCACCACGATCCCCACCTTCATCACCGCCATCACCTCTCTGGACCCCAATGCGTCTAGATCTCTAGACTTTCTGCTTTCAGACCTCACACACACTGTTTGGCGTCTCTTGCCGGGAGAATTGTGTTTTTTACTTTTTGAAAATATGCAGCTACTCAGCTACTCGTTGTTCTGCTACATTGCGGTGCCAAGCTCGTTTTTGCCAAGGAAGGGGCTGCAACAGTGCACATCTTGTCCTCAAGATCGGGAGACAGCTTTCGAGGTGAGGAGCGGAGAAGATACCACCGCTAGTATCCGCTAGTCGTAAAATAGGAAAGAAAAGTTGAAGTAGAAGCAGGAAGAAGTAAATAGTTTGTTTTTAAACGCACATGAATTTCTGGTCAGGGCTGTTTTGCCCGTGGTGTTGATCAATATGGATCCTTTTAAATTGCAACATATTGCAACAATGTTTGTTACTCTTCTTGTGATTGTTGTAGGGCTGTGGCCATCGTGGTGTTCATTGGTGTTACCATGCTGCATTGCTGTATTCACCGTAGTCACCATAAATGTTTATTGTTGTTGCCATCATGGTCTGTAAATGTAGCTCGATTGGGCTTGACATTGGTACCGGTATGTTGCTATTTGTCTTCTTGTCACTGTTGCCACAGTTGTTTATGTTGCTGTGCTGTGGTCATCGTGGCTTGGCTGTTCCCTTGTGGTGCGTTCTCAGGGCAGGTGAGGGATGGCGTCGATGCTGTGGAGAATGGAAGCTAGGGGTGCCGCAAAAGGCAGTTTGTTCGAGTCCAAGTTTTGACTCAAGCTGTGTCAGGGCGCAACCTCTGAAGATATGTGCGTTTGCAGCTTCGGACAACGGCTTGAGGGTGGCAGCTGCATCTTGTGCGACGTGTCGCTTGTCATGAAAACCGCAAACCACTGGGGTTGTACTGTTCAGATCGTCCAGATCTCAGGACTGAGATTTGTGATGGCAGCCGCGTCATTGGCCACAGGCCAGATCAAAAAGGGTTCTGTGGTATCTTCCTTGGGCAGCCCCACCTGGTTTTGTGCTGGATTCTTGAAACTCGTTGCCCTCATTTGAGGCCGAACAACCAGCAGTGGCTGACAACTTTAGATGTAGCTGGAAGCCAACGAGCACTGAGCCAAATGCAACTCGGCCGAGCTGGATAACTAACGAAACGCGGGTCTTCGATCGCTTTCAAGTAACGAATATAGAAACTGACACAAACGAAGCAGTTGACTGACGGAAATGTTGACATCAACGGTATGAGACTTGAATGCTTTATCCCAGTTTCGGGTTGGTGCCACCTCCCCACGAAGGTTCCCATCTATTTTGCGCTTTTTCAATTTTGGATGGTGTGTTACTGTCGCTATGCCAAAATGAGTGTGTAGATGCAAGGATTGCAAAAGAGTTCTTTTTGATTGCCTTAAAGATTGAGAAGGACGACCAGCAGCTTAATAGCGTCATGTCTCTATTCAGCAGTAGATTGACAGCGATGATGAACGGAGATGAGGGCCTCAACATCATAGCTGCACCTGATCAGGACGAAAATCCCAAAGTCTGAAGTCACGTTTTGTCAAAAAATGAAGGAAATAAGTCAAGAGAAGAGAATTTAATCGTTTGATGTCATTTGTGGAGGCTGTGACAGCGGCATTGGGATTGGTCATGGACGTTTGGGTTTTGCTGAAGCCTGTCCTCGTTGACCAGACGTCAAAGATGTTGAATGCTGCGGACTTGGATATCACCACCGCAGGTCAGGTCGCAGAGCAGACCACGGCCTTAAGGACGGACTTCAGTTTAGAAGTTGCATGAAGGATGACAAGAACATACAAGACCTAGAACGATGATGTTTGACAGCCATGTCACCTAGGACTGCCTCACAGGGTGTGGTGGATGCTCTGACAGATGCAGCATCCAGTGCCTGGGGGGCCCAGGGTTCCTGCTTCCCTACCTCCAAAGGAGGTTTGATGGGGCAACTTCCGAGACCTTGTTTCTTCGGCTTACCCTGGTGACAGTTCCAAGCAGCTTGTTGTGGTTGGTTCATGGATGTCCTTGGCATTTCTTGGCTGGATATATAATGGGCCATGGGTTCATGGGGCAATTTGAGACTTCAAATGTCAAAGCGTTATCAAATGTAAATCAAATTGTGGACAACGCAACGTGAGGAAGGTCATCCTCACACCTGTGTGCAAGCGCAAAGGGGTTGGGAGATGGATGATGGTGCGTATCCACTGTATAGAAAGAGCACCTTCGAAAATAGGTACGCTCCGCGTACGCTCCGCGTCAGATCCAGTTTGTCCAGTCCTCCAAGTGATGATTTTTCACTCCGTCTCTTGTTTGAGGCGGGTGCGCATTTGAATGGCTTGCTGGTGGACATTGCAGGGCGCCAGCGTATGCTGATCCAAGAGTTGTGTAAAGATGCTTTAATTGTCGCCTTGGGGGTGCTTAGGCTCAAAGCAAGGCTTTTTCGATTTTCCTTTGACCGGGCATACAAAAAAATAATGTTTCACTTGTTTCACGGCTTTCTTTGTACCCACGTTGCTTGCTGAGGCCTCCGTGGTTACCACCAAGGCCTCTTTGCAGCGCGTGGCGACACTCTTCGAAACAACGCACGACAGTCTCATCTTCGGCATCACCGCAGTTGGAATTCCTGAGCTCCGCAACGTGGTGAAAGAAAAGAGAGACAAGACATTCGTTCTGAAAGAATGCAAACGGAATAAAAGCGATGATTGAAAGCTTATTTTTAACTCTTTGATGTTTGAGAAAAGATTGAGGAAAGGTTTGCTCGATGCATCAAATGCAAGAAGTGAGCCTCGCCTTGGACATGCTGACATACCGTGTCGTCACTGAGCGGTGTGACACGGTCAGTGACACAGTCCGTGACACAATGTGATAGATTGCCATAGATTGCCTATTTGTCGCGTCGCTTGTGTACTGAGTTTCTGAGGAGCTACTACTATCGACAAGTTCGACCATATCTCAGGGAGATCACTAATGGGCGAACAAGTGTGGAAAGCTCAATGATTGCTGTGCGGGTGGCTCCCAGCATCAACAGCCTCCCGACAGAGTTCCGAGAGGTTTCGACGAAGGAAGTCACTTGCATTCTTGTTGTGAAGCATCTCCTGATCTCAGGCCTGACCACTCCACTATTTCAAGCTATGGGGGCTGCGGTGCGGTTATTTGTCAATGACGCTGAGAAAGAGGTGTTGACTGGGGTCATATTGGCTCATTTTGCAATTTTGCGTTTTTTTTTCAGGGTTTGCGTATGCTGTATCGAAATATCTAAGGACACTGGCACCTGTGAGGCGCTTGGAACGATAAGCGAAAGCTTCTTGGAGTCATGTTCCTTATGCTGCTTGCATTGTTCATTTCTGTTCCTTGTGTTCCTTGATTCAATATCTGGAGCCTTGTGTTACGATTCATGTTATCGGAATCGACGAGAGTTACGGGCCGGATACACATGAAGTGAGGGATCAACGCGCACCGAACATGTGAGGCGAGTTGATGGCCTTAACCAACGGCTCCTGGGTTGAATCGGGAGATTCCCAAATGGGAATCCGAAGAAGAAAACATGCAATACGCAATGATTCCTTGCAATTCTGAGTGAACTTTGGGGTTCTTTGAAATTGATGTTGATAATTGTTGATATGCGTGTTTGCATTCATGGCATCCAGCCTTGGAACTGGGGGCCCGGGATGCCGCCCTTCCAGGAATTGCCGTTGCTCGGCTTGGGCTTGCCGACGCCATACGTCACTATATGCATCTCAGCAGTGTTCTGTTCAGGAAATCAATCAAGCAATGGAGATGTCTTATGCCGGCCATTTGGTAGATCCTAAGGGATTTGCAGCAATGTTTTGGGAGACCCTTTGAGTAGTTCGTCGTTTCCAAATTATCAGCTTGCACAGCTTCACAGTATGGACAAACTTGGTGGCTAGATAGAGGTTGGATTTTTCCGATGGTCATGATGTTTAAGTCCTGATTGCCGGAACGCAAGCGATGTGTCAACTGAACACTGTAACAACTGGGGCAACTGGTCTGAAAAGATGTTCGAAAGGTTGAGGTTGTTCTGGAATGCTGTCCAATTGGTCATTTCTTGATTTGGGGCTTGACGGTGTTGAAATACATCACCTAATGCTATGCTTTTACGCACCATGCCAATTCTTGGCTCAAGCACGCAGCTCATCGCGACAAAAAGGAGCGCTAGCAGTTGCAGCTTAGCGGAATTTGACTGTATTTTAGTGGTTGAGCCTGAAAATACAGGTTATCAGCCGTAGCCTCTGCCATGGCTACAGATGATGGTGTGAATGCCGCGCTCGCCCTCATCCCATACTCTGGCGATACCGTACCGGTCGCCGGGGGCAACCTCGTGCCCGAGGATGTCGTCATGGGATCTGAAGGCGTCACAGCAGACTTTCAGCTTATTCAGAACAATGTTCATCAGATCGCTTCGGGGAACGAAGAAGCTGTCCGCTTTGAAGCGGAACAAAGGCATCGTGAGACCATGCACTCTACTATTCAAGCCTTAGGTTCGCAATGTAGAGTTGCCATCGATCAGATGAGGGAAGTGTGCGACAAGCAAGTCCTGCCTATGCAGGGTCGGATTAACTTGTTGGAAAGGCAGCTGGCTGAGAGTCAGGCCAAAGTTGCCAGCGCAGACAGCCTACATCAAAAGAGAATGTCGGAGCAGAAGGCAGAAGCAGAGAAGCTTCATTTGCAGAGGATGAACGAGAAGATGAGTGAGCTGGAAAAGATGTTGACAAGATGGTGGAGGATGCCTCTAACAAAGCTAGAGGACTCATTGAAGAAGAACGCAGGCAGCACCAGATCATGGAGACCGAGTGGACCGAAAGAAAAGAGTATCTTGAAGAGGAACTGCGAAAGGCATCAGAGACTAACGCACTCCTCCAAGAGCAGCTCGATGGGATGATTCCAGCACCTGAGGCTGAAGCACCGCATCACCTGCCAGGTTCGGCTACCCCAGTGATATCCGAGCCAGCAGGCCGTGAGGCCTTGCCCCAACCAACAGAGATTGATTGGAAGGCGAGGCTGGATGCAAGGTTCGCTCAGAAACTCGGTGACTTCTACCCATCACGAGCACCTGCAGCATTGCCACATCCCACAGCGTTGGAGCCTGCCCATGGTAAGGATGAGCATTTCGTCGACGCACGTGAAACTGCCGATGAACGAATGTCCCATGCTGGCGACGGAGGAGTCGATGGCAAAGTCCCGGCTTCTTCGGGAGAAACCAACGCACTGATGAGTGGTCTTGCAGAATTACTTGGAGAAATGAAGTCCAAGAAAGACGATGAAGGCAAACCAAGGGTCAAAGAAGCCGATACGATTGCAATTCCGGACATGCCCACGCCCGAGACTTACCGTCAGTGGAAGAATCTTGTTCGTGAGCTCGTTCGATCGTCGTCCGATAAGCCCGACGAAGCATGGGAGTGGATTATGGAAGTTTGGGATCCAAAGCTCTCTCGTGTTGAACTCGAGGCAAAGCTCCAGAATCCAGGCAAGTTCGTGACCTTAGACACGAAGCTCACCGCTGCTCTCACAAAGTCAGCCCGTGGTGACCTGGGAAATAGAATCCTTAATCACAAGGAGGAGCAAGCAAAGAAGGGACATCAGACCAGAGGTCGAACAGTACTTCTTATGTTTGACGACTACTTCAAAACATCCAAGGAAGCTGATACTCTCTACTCATTAGAAGACCTTTTGAAGGTAGCGAAGTTCGGGGATACCATCGCTGACCTCAAGAAATTCATCAATCGTTGGGATGCAGCGTTAGCCGGTATGAAGAAGGAGCCTGAAGAAACAGTCCTTCGTGATGTTTTGCTCCGTCAGATCCGTCCTAGCACGCTACTCAAGTATGACATTGACACCTATGATTGGGCAAAGGAAGGTGATCCTAGCAAGACGTGTTCGTTCCTTGTGAAAGCCATTCGAGACCTGATCGATCGTGAAAGGCTTAGGGAGAATCGAGATCGCATCGTCGATAAGAATCAACCAAAGCCGAACAACCCCAAAGACTGGGCCGGACTACCCGTGGTGCCCCCAGCCAAGAGGGAGAAAACACCCCCAAGGGGAAGGACTCCTGACAGAAAGAAGATCCCATGTAGAGACTTCGTGAAAGGGAAGTGTGCCAAAAAAAGGATTGCCCATACCGTCATGACAAGAAGGACAGGTCGCCCTCTAGACAGAGGACACCTCGTACGTCCAGTCGTGACCCAAAGAAAAAGCTCAATAAAGAGGAGATGGCAAAGACTCCATGCATCTATTTTGCACGTGGAGATTGCCGCCGTGGGGACAAGTGCCTGTACCTGCATGAAAAGAAAGGTGCAGCCGCTCCAAAGGACCCAGCTCGGCCAAACTCTCCGAAGCCCAAGAAGGAGCCGAAGCCGAAAAAGTCGGCTACTCCCTGTGTTCGATCAAGCTACCAGCAGGCTCCGAGTCCCAAGTTACACAGGCATCGTGAGTAGGTAAGGTCGTTCGGCGCCAAAGTCATTAAAAACTCAACCCTCTAAGTTTGCTCACGTATCACATGTTGGCACAACCATGACAATGTTGGACAGGACAGCGATTGCACCTAGAGTCTCTTCAAAAGGTCGTCACAAAGTTTGTTTTGTGATGGAGCCACCACTCACAACATGCAATACGACAAACAAACACGTTAATTCACATGCTGTGAAAGCAACATGCCCTGCTTTGAGTGAAACCACATGTGTTTCCACTGTTTATACGATTAAGGGTTTCCTTTCTGGAGAAAGGTGTCTTGTGTTCTTTTTCAAATAGTGTGTGATTTTCCTCTTTAAGGATAGTTCCGCGCGCAGGGACTCTTTTGCAGAACGTGTGTGTGTGTGTCCGTGTTATTGTTTGCATGTCGCAGGCGCATGACGCTCGCCCGAACGCCCGACCTTCGCCGTTCATGGCTTCAACGATTGCCAGTTTATATAGTATAGTATCTACAGAACCTGTAGACTCTAGTAAAAAAGTAAAACAAACTATGGGGTTGATTCAACACGTGTATAGGGCCTGGTTACAAAGCTCCACCGCTCAAGGTCGGTTCACGAATCTCTTTTTTTTCGCGAACCTCGGGCGGGGGGGGCTTGAGAGCCCGTGCGGCTTCATGTGAGCCTGGAGACTCAGCAATCGACTTCGGCCACTTCGGTCTGGTGTTGGATGATATTATCCCAATGGAACGCTAGGAACAAACCAAACCTTTGGAAAAAACGTGGAAGAATCCCTGCGTAGCTCCCAGAAGGACAGAGAGGCCAATGTCGTGATCTTTCCCAACATGGATTCCTCCGCCAACGTCTTGTGCGTTCGGCAATTCTCATCAGACGTTCGCAGGTCGTGAACGATGTGTGCCATGGCATGCCTTGACATTCGATCAACTGAAACATGCACGCAGGCCTTCAATTAATTGAGGACTCGAGGACGATCCATCATTGAAGGGTTGCGCAAACGTCCAAAACAAAACACACCTCCATGTCCCTGGTCGACCCTCTTCTGGTTTACAGAAAAGCTCTTGAAAAAGAACAAGTTACCACTTAGGACGTAGTTTGTAGTTCAATCTCCGTCTTTCCATGTTGATCGACGCCAGTTTTGCATAAGCAACCATAAATGCTGCGCCACCTCTCCAAGCTCGTTGCCGATACACGTCCCCAAGTCGCAGGGCTGGCCTATCGGTGATGAATAGGAACTCGCATACGCCCCACAAAGAGCGAGCTCTGAGAACGCATTCGTCGCCTTACTGGCGGCGTTATAAGGTCGCATTTTGTGGGAAGGGTTCGATTGAGTTGAACAACTATGTATATATATATATATACAGTACATAAGGAGTAGAAAAATATTTGACTAATTTCTTTGGAGGTTCATTGGCACAAGGTGGAGACATCTCTAGCCAGATCGCATAGAAAGAACAAAATGATCTTGGTGTGCACTGCCTTGACATTGCTCTCTAGCTCCGGATAGCCTTTCTCATCATTTTCAACCCTTCCCACAAGATGCAGGTTCCATGTACAAGGGGGAATTGGAATCCGTTTGCTGCGGCGCCACTGCCTGAAGGCAGACCCCAGCTTTTGAATCAAAGCATTGCCTAAGACTCCATCATCCAAGGCGACGCCTTGCAATGAAGGCAGCTGTTGCCCTCGCAGTTGGCTCAGAGTATGAGGCTGCGTCGCCTCAAGCGTGTTGGCGCACTGCTGTGGATCCAAGTTGCTCAACCCAGAAAGGACACCGATTAACAAGAACGTGTAAAATGTTTTTCTCGGGCTGAGCAACAAAATCAAAGAGAACGCCGGCGCATAGATCTTTACCAGTTCCAAGCAGGATGGTGTGGGCGGTGTCCCATCTAACTCTCGACAGCAAGAACCCGGGAACGCCCACCCATGGTGAGATCTGATCCCTTGGAGTGGTCCTCAAATACGACTCATGTGTCCTGATAGTTGCAACCCATGGGGCATCAGCAACGGAAATCGGTGAAGAGCAAAGGCAACATGTCCGGTGGGGTTCTGCTAAATGGTTTGCATTGGTCGCAAACTTGAGTGGATTGATAATTCCGGCCTAGCTGGTGTACAAAATACATCTTTGCTGGCATCCCCATGCGCTTCCTACCCACAAAAGCATTGAAGAAAAAGGCAAACAAGGTCATCACGGATCTGATTGCATGGGATAGCAGCCTAGCTGGTGGCAATGTTTTGAGTCTTCATAGAAAACTGTTGTTCAGTTGTATGTATGTGAACTGAAGCCATCGGTGTTTCCCAAATCTCAGGCAAAACCTTATTGGAAGGAATTTTTCCTGAGCGAGACCAATATGGCAATTTGCTTACTGGCAAGAGAGCCCTGCGGGCTAATCAACCAGTAGCCGGAGGATGGCGTGCTGGGTTCGACAGTTGGTGTGGGGATTGGAAGGAAAGATCATTGTCCCATTGCTTTGTTGAGCTCCACAACCAAATGAGAAGCTCGTGGTTTGTGCAAAATTGGGCACGGTCAGTGAACCATTTCACCTTGATTTGAACATCTATCCATGGGCAGAAACAATCAGGACAGCGTCAAAAGACAACCCTGCAAAGGTTAACTTGGGAAACGGGTGTTTGTTCCATCGCCATTCCAAGGCTCTGGAAAGGTGGCATCGTGCAACCGTCGCCTGGGCAGCAAGGACGTTGGAGCTGGGCAGGGTTGGATTGATTTGGTCACACCCTTTTGCCCAGCAAAAAGAAGACCCATAAAAGTGTTGTTGGAGATTGCATCCAAAAAACTGAACTACTGGATGGTTCACAGCCCATTCTCTTTCAGCAATCGTCCAATATTCGAGGCAACCCTCTGGTGTGGCTCCAATGCACTCGTCCCACAGCACCCCGCTTTTTTTGTTCCACAAAGCATGTAGAACATCGGACGCCAACGAAATAGGAATCTCACGAAATTCAATTGTGGCTGAATCCGGGTTGTAGATTTCTATAACTGCATTGTGGGTTTCCAATGGAGTGTTGTATGCGTATGGCATCCACCTATGTAGATCTCGCTCACAATTTTGCATGTGCTTCCCCCAGCATGCCAAGCTGGCCAAACTCTCAATGGTAGACTGCGAAAGTCCATCTTTGTACGCAGCTGACGCATAACGTTGGGCAGTACTCACATGTATCTCCTCACACTGCTGAGCAGAGGAATTATGTACTGGGTTCTATGTGTTTCTGATTTTTCTTAATGCAAAAGAACACAATCCAAAAGTGCATTTGGCCAGAAGGCAAGCGTCTCCCCGCGATACATCCCAT